TGTGTGTGTGTGTGTGTGTGTGTGTATGTGTGTGTGTGTATTTTAAATTGGAGCTCTTTTATTCTGTCTACTCCACTGGAATATACATTTTTCATGATGTAGCAAATGAGCTGCCAGAAGGAAAAGTGTTGCGACGTGATGGAATCAGGCGGTCGTCAATCTTTGGGCATGTGATGTTATTGGTTTCACCATAGCGATTGTTCATTTGTCTTTCTTTTGATGATAAAAATACCCATCTATCTTGAATAGAAGTCGAGATATTTATGATTGAAGAAGATGGGATAGCCTTGTAAGGTAGAATCAGATAGAAAATTGCCCGCCAAAGTTTGGTTATTGCAAAAACTTGACAGTCCGTGGAAAACGAAAACGTATTTTTTTTGTGTGCCTTTAATCAACGTTTTTCAGTAAAAATCCACCCAAAAATGTGTTCTTAATAGGACAACAACGATGTTAAGCCTAAAAACAGACATTCCATAAAAATTACCAAACTGGCAGAAAAATGCCAGTTTGTTCAATTTCACTATTTTGACGAGCGCCTGATTTCACCACGCTGTCTCACCTCCAGAACTGCCTTAGTCATTGAGGGGTCCAAATCCCGAACTCGCTTACACTTGAGGACATAGAAAGGTACGGGTTCAAAACCTTTCAACACACTGTCGTGGGTGGTTGGCGGGTGCTCTGGTGGGGTTTGCTTCTTCTTCCGTATCAAACATCTATCGTTTTCGTCTCCCCTCCTTCTTTTTTGTGTTTGTCACTCTCTTGTAACACCTCTAATCTCCGGCACTTATATGACTTTATTGTGTTGCAAGTGCCGCAATACTTTTACAAAAACTAAGAGACACACTGTATGTAACAATTCATTCGAAACATCTTATTATGCCTATCTCCAACAGGACGATCAAATATGGCAGGCAGACTACTATGAAAGCTCGAACAGTTTATCCCAAGTTATTTTAAAAAAACTATGCTTGAGATTCCAAACAGCGACAATGACACCGTAATTCATCACGATAAACCAAACTCAGCGATCTAATGGCCACAGAGTGTGAGTCTCTCCTTTGTACAAAATTCTTTAAAAATACGAGGTCTCAAAAACTGGAAAGCACAGAGTGCAGTTAAGACTATTTACAGTGTCCTACTTTTGGAACCACCCGTTCAATTATACTAGTTGAGCTCCGTACACTAACTCTGAAGACACAGGAAGTGTGCATCATGCGGAAATTTAGGTCATACACTGTTGGAAAGGGATCAGCTTGGTATGTAATTATATTGTTTGTGTTTGTATGTATATGAGTTTGTTTAAATATGTATGTATGTATGTATGTATGTATGTATGTATGTATGTATGTATGTATGTAT